CCTCCTCGCGATATGCCTCTTTGCTCCGGCGCTTTTCTTCCGTCCTCACTCAATAGCTTAGTACACCACAACGACCACAACCAAAAGCACTGGCGATCTTAAAAGTGGGGAACACTAGACTGTGCAATCGACCTGGCACTTCGCCGACGTGGCGGGCTGGCCGTGACGTCCGGTTCAGACGAACGTTTGCGTGCTCTCTGACCCTGCCTGCCTGGCGTGATGCGGCCGCCAGACCTCGTCACGGCCAGTAGGCTGATCAGCCAGCCAGTGCAGCGGCTACGCATTTCTGTATCCAGGAGGGAAAGGCAACAAGGACCGCTTTTAAAGCCAAGAAAGGCAAAGAGCCTTCTTTACCCGTTTATATGTGCCCAATGCTTATACGCACAAATGGACTCTGGGGCTAAGGTTAGGGTAGTGAAGTGGTTAAGCCGCGCGTCAGGGAAACCAGAAGTTCGGGGTTCGAGCGCAACGGCTCGTGCTGTTCTAAGCCCGTCGCATCACATCCCCACACACGCTGCAGTGGGCATCGTTAGAGCGCCGATCATGCGCGTCGACTCACCAATGCAGAGGGCACCCACTTAAACCGCAGGCATGGCGCTCAGGCCAAAGCCGGGATTCAAATCTAGTCCCTTGTGTGTTTGAATTCGATATTCAAATCCGCCCTTTGGACCAGATTCCGAGATCTCGAGGCCAGGCGGCATGCATCCAAGCCAGTTCGTTTTCGCGGCACAGGATTGCGAGTCCTACGGCCTGGAAACGACCCAGTAATGGCTTGTTGGATTGTACGGAGCAGATGTATATGTATATATATATATATATATATATATATATATATATATATATATGTATGTATATGTATGTACATATATATAATATAATATCCATAATATCCATCATTCTTCCAGGGATATACAGCGTTCGACATGACAAAGGAACAGACTGTTTTTATAAAGATCACCCACCTTTCCTCGCGTTTTGTCAAATGAGCGTTGAAACTAGCATTGGATAACCATTGTATTGATTTACATCACGTCCTGTGCATCATTAGAAATATGCAGAAAATGTACAACGAACCCATTGGTTGACGGTAAAGGATTTGTGAGGCTAGTCCAAGAGAAAGATTCAGCCTATAGCATGATAGTTCTGATCTGTTTGCCGTCCCAACGACGCATCGATGGGATTGCAACCCGATCAGGGCGGACAAACCAGTCATCGCGATAGCTGTGCTGTCGCCCAGAGGGCGCTGATGATTGTCACGTAACTGTGAATGGTGTGTGTCACTCTACCGACACCGCTGGCCGTTACGCCGTGCGGCTGGTGAAGCGTTGCTTCAGCATCACTCAGGCGTTCATCGCCACCGGCGCTGAGGCGTGTCGCCTAATTCCTATGAAGCCAGTCACCGCACGCTTGCGCTAGTGGCCGCTGCGGCGTTGTTTTGCCAACTCTCGCGGGTGGCCAAACTGAGTGCCGCTAAACAAGAGTTACCGACACCGCTTGGACTCGGCGCGTGAGCCCGGTGCGCGCCAGCTCGACGCGGAACGAGTGAGCATGTTTCACAACAAGGGACCCGGCCGGCGACCGCCAGCGTTGCCCAACGCGGCCGCAGATCCGACCCGGCGCCTGCCGTCCATGTTCCGGGTGTTGCCAATCCCGCGGGCGCCGCTGCCAAACGCGATAGGCCGGCACCGCGGCGGATTCGTACCCGAAGCCGGACGGAGGCGGGCGCTCGGGAACGGCACTCGCTGATGGCTCGGGCTTGGTACCAGGTGGAAACAGAGAGGCGGGACAGGGAAAGGCCGGTTGGAAATGGGGGACGTCAAAGGGAAGCCGAGCCTCCTGGCTTTCAAGAATGCAATCAAATTGTCGTCTGTCTCAACATTTTCGGAGCTCATTTATCATGCATCAGCCCTGCAGCAACCGAAATCAATACGGTACCAACGTCGCTTGCCCAAGGCCATTTACAGATAAGGGTCGTTTTCCTTTGCATGTCAGCGAAAACCGCGCATACTGGTCAAGTCATCGGTTACCCAACCGCTGCCAATGCGCTTCCGCCGTTGTGCAATGCCAGAAGTGGTGCCCCGATCGGTAACGGAGCCTGGCACCGGCTGGACGCGGACGCCGCGGCGGCCGCGTCCAGGGCACGCGCCCGGTGACCGCCGCGAGGGTCGGGTGGACGCCGCGGCGGCCGCGTCCTGGGCACGCGCCCGGTGACCGCCGCGAGGGTCGGGTGGACGCCGCGGCGGTCGCTTCGGGCACGCGCCGGTGACCGCCGCGAGGGTCGGGCGGACGCCGCGGCGGCCGCGTCCTGGGCACGCGCCCGGTGACCGCGCGAGGGTCGGGTGGACGCCGCCGGCGGTCGCTTCGGGCACGCGCCCGGTGACCGCCGCGAGGGTCGGGGACGCCGCGGCGGCCCGCGTTCTGGGCACGCGCCGGTGACCGCCGCGGGGTCGGGCGGACGCCGCGGCGGTCGCTTCGGGCACGCGCCCGGTGACCGCCGCGAGGGTCGGGCGGACGCCGCAGCGGCCGCGTCCTGGGCACGCGCCGGTGACCGCCGCGAGGGTCGGGTGGACGCCGCGGCGGCCGCGTCCCGGGCACGCGCCCGGTGACCGCCGCGAGGGTCGGGCGGACGCCGCGGCGGCCGCGTCCTGGGCACGCGCCCGGTGACCGCCGCGAGGGTCGGGTGGACGCCGCGGCGGCCGCGTCCCGGGCACGCGCCCGGTGACCGCCGCGAGGGTCGGGCGGACGCCGCGGCGGTCGCTTCGGGCACGCGCCCGGTGACCGCCGCGAGGGTCGGGCGGACGCCGCGGCGGCCGCGTTCTGGGCACGCGCCCGGTGACCGCCGCGAGGGTCGGGCGGACGCCGCGGCGGTCGCTTCGGGCACGCGCCCGGTGACCGCCGCGAGGGTCGGGCGGACGCCGCGGCGGCCGCGTCCCGGGCACGCGCCCGGTGACCGCCGCGAGGGTCGGGTGGAGCCGCGGCGGCCGCGTCCGGGCACGCGCCCGGTGTGACCCGCCGCCGAGGGTCGGCGGACGCCGCGGCGGTTCGCTTCGGGCACGCGCCGGGACCGCGCGAGGGTCTGGGCGGAACGCCGCGGGCGGTTTGCTAGGGCACGCGCGGGTGATCGCAGCGAGGGTCGGGTCGGACGCCGCGGCGGTCGCTTCGGGCACGCGCCCGGTGACCGCCGCGAGGGTCGGGCGGGCGCTGCGACGCGCACCTGTCGCTTGCATCACAGTGCCGGCGTCGACGGTCAGGGCACGTCGTCTCAGGGCCGTCATGCCGGCCGATGAGGCAAGGCGGCCGAACTGTGTCAGCGGTGGTGGCGGCGTCACACCCGAGAGCGCGGCGACACCGCTCCGCGCGGGGCCTGGAGAAGACCGTACCCGGCAGACGCGTGGAGACTGAAGATCAAATCTACATATTGCAATCTGCATACGTGCAGGGCACGATGGGAAACGGACGGGAGCGCCGGACAGAATGAGAGATCCTCTAGTGTGTGGAGAGACGGACAGGAGCCTGGAGGAGAGGGCGATGTAAGCCCATAGATAGGAGGTCAACCGGCTAACGTTCATAGAGATATGTTTTAAAATGCAAGAGACCTCCAGCCCAAAGAAGTAAAAAAAGTTACTCTCCTCAAATCTTTATGAAAATCCGGTTGTTATGAAGTGCCAGCGATGCGAAAGGGTGAAACAGTGCCAGCTGAGATTGCCAGCAACGACCACCAAGGCAACGCAATGCCAAGGAGCCGCGTACAAACCTGCCGGGGAGGCGGCACCGTGTCGCCGAGGCTGCGCGATGCCAAGGAGCTGCGTACAAACCTGCCGGGGAGGCGGCACCGTGTCACCGAGGCTGCGCGATGCCAGAGAGCTGTGTAGAAACCTGCCGGGGAGACGGCACCGTGTCACCGCCACCGCTCTCAAAAGTCCATCCGCCAAGGGTCGGGAGGTTCGGTCAGGGAAATGACAGTCGTGGGCGATGGGGGCTGGGGACGACCCGGGGGCGCGAGGGGCGCCGCCTGCCGCGTCAGTCATGTCAGGTTACCCGGGACCGCGGCGTGAAGCAAGCGTGCCGCGGCGGCGGGGGTGGCGACGTCAGGCGACAGCGGCCTCGCAGAGCCGCGGTACTCGCAGCTCACTTTCACCCGTTGTGTAACGTGGCCAGCGCCGGCCGACGACAGCTGAGTCCCCCTCCCCACCCACGCTAGGGCCCTTTTGATCAGCTGTGGTGATGGACGGCTGCAGCGCGCGCACGTGTCCCGACCAACCCCGGCGGCAAGCCAGCGCGGCGCCGGCCTGACGCCAGCCATCCGAACAGGCGCAGGCCGAGAAAGTTCGCACGCCCAGTGACTGCGCGCGAGCAGCCGGCAGGAACGGAGTGGGTCACTCGTGTGACGCCGACGTGTGTAACGTGCGCAGCTGGCGGTTGTTACCGCGATGTCAACACACTTTCCGCGCCGAGTGCAGCTGCTCCGAGTCGGCACTACATTTGAAAGGCGTCGCTTGTCGCTGTGACCTCCGTTTCCGTCAACGAGCCATTTTGTGCAGTTTAATTAAACGTCATACGTGAGTATCCAGTGTTGACGACGGCCGAGTTGTCTGGATTAACGAGGTGGAACGATGACTTGGAAACAAGACTGGCTGTACGAATTGCCACAGAAGCTTGGGTTACATCCCGCACGGAGCGTTGACGTCTGATATAAAACAACATAACGCAGTGGATCAGGCCGAATTGATACAAGATAAGACTGGATTCGCCTGGCGAAAGGGGTCTTAGCGAATATTGCGCCATCATGATTAGTTTTGTGCGATGGATTTGCCTCAACACTGGTGTAATTACGCGAGACCAGTTGAGGCTGAGCCGGAAAAATGTCTAAACCTGATCGCAAAATACACATAAAACCGGTTTCTCTTCAAGTCTGACCCACTTTTCTCCCAAAGTTGGATGGAAATCCCAGCTCAGTGAGGAAATCATACCATTATGTCGCACTCAACACCCTGCATATTGAACGGTTTTCGTTTTGTTACGAAGAACGTCGTGGCCCGTGAGGGCCTCAATTCTATACCGGTGGACTTTCGGCTTCTCTCACTGGCCGGTCCAAATTTATGCATTTCACAAGTCTGTTATCTTCGTTGCCACTTACCACGCTCATTTTCTGCAAATTTCAGTGTCCAGCAGCATTTATCGACGACGCATTTCATGAAAGCTGCACGGGTGCCTTTATGAGGTGTTTGCATGCATGCTTAAGGGTTACAAGGCTCACCTTACCACATAGAAAAGTCGCCCATCAACACAGCTGCGTTAATGCCACTGTGCGAGTACGATGCAAGCTAGGTTGCGAGGTCCGACCCCTTCGATTTCTCGTGCGGCGGAAGGCTTCCGCTCGCGTTATTCCACTGCGTCCAGACCAGCTCCTGGTTGAAATCGTGAGGCGCGTTGTCCACAATGACGTGAATGCGTCAGTTATTCTCAACAGGATTTATCGTGTGGTGGGGGAACATGAGCACAATGTTGGTATCAAAAGGTAGTTTGCGTCACTGTATGCCACAATCACCTAATGCCATGTTTATGGATACATTTGAAGTTCACGAATAGTTGGGTAGCGGTCGTGTGCGCCATCTGAAGGTGAAAGCGACTTTAGCGCAGGAAGCATCGACGAGAAAAGGACACTAACTCGCCATTGAACGCTGTTGATCTCTTTGATGCATAACGATGCACAAAGTACCTGAGGCTACATGGCGTCGCCCGCCTCTCACCCGGCAGAAAAACCGGGCACCGCGGGGAATCGAACCCGTGGCCTATAACTCCGCCACTGCGCTGGTGGTACCTATTTTATCATGGAACCACAAACCTGACATGCACAATGTCCTGATGTAGCTGAAAAACGGCCCCGGCATGTGGTCTCCATGTCTTGAACCATATTCAACTTCGTTCCATCATCGCTAGCGCTTAATGTTATCGCACCACAACTGCATCATCTTTGCATAGCAAAGCCTCGCTAATCGCACACGAAGTGTCTAACAGGTTGACTCCACTTACGTCGTATTTAAGACTAGTAGGAGACATGATCCATTCCATCAGCGCGGTCTTACACATTAATGGACGACTTTCCGTTGGAGAGCCAAATATTATGTCTTGCAAAGTGGCTTACAATCTCTCTACAGCGTAGATGAAAACGTTAGATATGCCATTGCCCGAACGGTCTTGTTACGTTGCCTGCGCGCGCTTCTTCAAGTCCTTTAGCGGTTATTTAACTACACCTAATTTGTTGGAGAACATCGTCATGTTGCCTTATTAACATGAAAAGCCATGGATTTTGAGTAGCGCGAATCTCATCGGACGCATTGCAATTTAGGATGACGGTTTTGGATGCGTACGGAACAAACGTGCATCCGGCATCACTCAAAGCCGCGACAAAGCGCACTCCGGTTGGTCGCTGGTCGACCCCTGGCGGCCCAACTGACGCACGCGTCCCAGCGGCCGCCCCTGACTGTGAACATCCTCTGCCGACAGTGGTGCACCAGTACCGGCCGGCGGTGGACCACCGCTTCCTGGGCAGCCGCGCTGCCTGCGGCTCGTGTGAGTTCTTCATGCTGTGCTGGATGTCGGGCGGCACGGTGCGCGGCGGCTGCGGCGGCTTCATGTTCGGCTGCTGCGAGCGCGGACGGCGCGCCGCCAAGTCGTTCAATCCGCCGCCCCCGCAGGTCGACTACGGCCCTGTGCGCAACGACCCAGGTGAGCGGCCGGGTCGAGTCGGCTGGCGCCGCCGCGCGCGCCGCTTGCTGCCTGGGCTGGCGGGCGTGCCACAGGGCGGACACCGGCTCAGGTCGGGCAAGTACGGCCGGCAGCTCCGCCCGGGCAGGCGACGGTGAACCGTGTGCTCGCGCGCCAGGGTGACGAAACGTGGCGCAGAGTGGGCCCAGTGGGTGGCTTCGGGACCCGCTTTGTGTGCTGGCTGAACGAGCTGTGTTTGAACATTGGACCGCGGTAGCCCGACGTAGCTAGGAGGGCCTCGTGATCCAATTTCAGCAGTCCCAAACCCCAGAAAGGCATCAGAAAGTTCTCAGTAGTCTCAGGAACCAGTCCGACGCGTATTTTCATGAGCTTGGCCGACCAGATCGCGTATCCCTTAGCTTAACTTCCCTACATTGATATGAGCAGGCCAATGAAAGAAGGCGTGCTGGCAGTAGCCTAGGTGCAGTTTGCTTCAATCAAAGGCTAGCCTATCCCTTGCATTAATGCGGTGTGATCTAAATTGATTACATAATCCGAAGACAAGCCAGCATCTATCTTAGCTGGACAGGGCTAAAGCAACGAAAATGACGCGCAAGGTGCTAAAAGTGAAACGACCGTAAATACTAACATGTGATAGCTACTGCAGTGTTCTTCAGACTCGGCAACCGTGCCTCCAGAGACTAAGACGTGTTTGACTTGACAATTGTACACAAAGCTGCAGCCCATTGTTGCACGCTGCCATGTTCACCGCTTATTTGTGCTTTGTTTATTGAGTTGCTTGCAAGCAAACCCATGCACGGTGAATGGTGTTATCGTAGGATGTTCCATGTGCTTGAACCCGATCACATCTCGGAATGGCAATCGTCAGAAAGGTCACAGGCTATGGCCAGAGCAAATTCAGGGGTCAAACATGGCATTGAGACGGGCTCAATGTCATGCATGTTTTCAATCACCATCGCTGCACCCTGAATCATGCCAATCTACGGGCTTCTGAGGGCAAGCATGCCCCGGCTGCCACAGCACTGCTGGCATAGCCTGCGCCTTTCTGCGATCGTCACCGTGCCGTGGCCGGTGTCGCTTGACGATGTGCTTGTTGGCCGACACGTCCACCACTAACGGGCCGCAGGCGCTGATTATTCTAGGTGTAGTCTAGTAGACGCCACTGCGCTCTCACTGGCACCAACGACTGATGACGTCACCCTGGACTATGACGTCACAGACATCGCGTGCGCACCGTTTGGTGCATGTGGACCGACCGGGTATAGCCAGAACGCACCATCAGACTTCAGAGACGCACAGTATACGGACTGGTACAGGCTGCAGACGGCCTGCTGTCGACCAGTGGCGGGCCAGCATTCGGACGGCTGACGTCACTGCTTGCTGGCCAATGGCGGCCCTGTACAGGGCAGACTCTCTTGGGGAGGGCGTCGACAGAAAGCGTGAAGATTTGCCCACATGTCACTTCATGACTAGCAATGTTTTTTCTGCCCAAAATTGAAACATATTGTTATTGTTATGACTACCTCAGCAAATGAATTTATCACCATTACTTTATTCAAATCATACAGTTTCATTCAGGTGGAAAGTGAAGATGTGGAGATAGGGGCTGACGATGGCACGTCATGATGTGTTCCCTAACCTGCTGGTGCGTGCGTGCCTGAGCAGGGTGCGGACTGTCCGACACCTCCCGGATAGGCATCACGCGCCGCATCGTTGGTGGAAACCAGGCAGGATTCGGCACCTTCCCCTGGCAGGTAAGCGTCCTGTGCCCTGGGTGGCACGGTCATGCCTTTCTATCGCTGCTCCGATAAGTTGCAGAGACATGTCATTACCTGACTATAATGATCATTGTTCGTATAAATACGAATCCGGCCATAAGTTAATCGTAAGGTACAGCAAACTGCTGATATCCAGGCCGAAACTGAATTTGTTAATCTATCCGACATTTTGGTGCAGCTGCACTTCAACTCGCCTATATCATCTCTAAGCTTCAGGCGTTGTAACAAAGGAAAAAGCACAGTGATGCAGTGATCACTTGTTTTGCGTTGTACAAATATTATATCTTAAATCGCTGCAGCCCACCCTTGCGGTAGCATGCGGTAGCCAGCGTTCTCTAAACATAAATGCTGTTTCCAAGTGTTCAGCGATCACAGGTCCCCCAAGTGGGGCGATGGGTGCACGGGAGGCCGCGCGTCGTCTGACACCCCGCGATGTCACAGGCGTACATCCTGATCGGCACCAGCCGTTGCGGAGGATCCCTGATTAACCAGCAGCACGTGCTCACAGCCGGACACTGCGTGGCCAGGTAAGTTGGGCCGGGGCGGCCGCTACCGGTGACCGGGGCATCTGGCGATCGAGCTCGCGGCGTGCCTCCAACGCCGACGGCGCCACTCAGTACACTCAGTCATGGTGTGAGATTGGCCAGAAGTCTGTGCAATCCAGCCGCACGTATCGCAGCCAGGCAATATGGACCGCGGCAACTGTCGCGTCCCGGGACGACTGAGGCTGGTGTGCAGTAGCGCGACGCGTTCTCTGCATGCTGGTCTGACGTGACCCTGTCGGGACAGGGCGCGGCCCGGCCAGATCACCATCACACTGGGCGACTACGTGCTCAACTCCAACCGCGAGCCACTGCCGGCCTACAAGTTCGGTGTGCGCGCCATCAACGTGCACCCGCGCTTCCAGTTCACGCCGCAGGCCGACCGCTACGACGTGGCCGTGCTCACGTGAGTGGGCCCGCCACCGTCGGCGGCGGGCGGGGCGTCCAGTGCAGGTTCAAGTGCTGTCGATAGGTGGCACCGGAGTCTGCGACCGCTCTGTGACCGACTTTGATGCCAATCTGTCGTCGTTGCCGTTGCAAGCAGCTCATTGTATTCTATATCATTTTTGGCCTGTCACATCGCATGGTCTGAGGACAAACACAATGCCCCCGTCACCCGTGCAATAGCGGTGTGATAGCGGCCCGGGGTAGAGCCAGTGCGCGGCCCAGGACTGCGGGCCACCGGTTCTCATGGCCTCCCAACTGAGTCTTAAAACCCACCGACACTCTTAGCCTCTAGCATTGCGTGTGGCGGAGGGAGGCCCTTCGCTATCTTCTCGGCGAAAGTTTGACGCAGGCTGCACTGCTCACAGGCTAGATCGGCCCGTGCCATACGTCCCCCACATCCAGCCCATTTGCCTGCCCGAAAAGGGAGACGAATTTGAGGGCTACTACGGTTGGGCGGCCGGCTGGGGCGCTCTCCGACCAGGTGAGTTGGCACTCGGGATCGCCTGCTCTGCTTGTGGTAATGACAGAGCGTACCAAACATCATTTCCCAAGCAAATGTTATTATTATACGACAGAACGTGATGTGGTGAAAACGACTGTATCTCAGGTCCAGTATGTTAGCCCTTGAGCATCGATATGCATTTGCTTCTCCCACTTAGTCTCTCAGCATTCGTGGTGGCAAAGCTTTCAGCCCGCGTAGCGTTGAACGCCAATTTTGATATCACAAAACTCTGGCATCTTTGAGCACACGGGTAAATATGCAGTGCTTCCATGTTGGCGTGAAATTGTGTGTTGCACCCCTTTCAGCCAAGGTACCCCGCAAAACGAGGTTTACGTATATCAGGTAAAGGGCAGATCTAGGGTCCAGCCACATACCCGCTCAGTGGACATGTTCGTGTGGAAAACCCTGCCCAGGGACCGGTGGAATATCGCAACATGTGCTCAACACATGTGCGTAAGTTTTAAAAGTAAAACCCTTTTCTGTTTTGCAGGCTCGCGCGTGAGACCAAAGGAGCTTCAGGTGGTGGATGTGCCGGTCATCAACCGCCACATGTGTGAACAGTGGCACCGGCAAAAGGGCATCAATGTCATCATCCACGACGAGATGATGTGCGCCGGCTACATCAACGGCGGCAAAGACTCGTGCCAGGTGAGCGCGGGCACGACTGACTACTATACTACATGTGAAATGAGTTTCCTTAAAGTACAATTGTTGAAAAAGGGCGTAAGTCCCGAAAGTGGTTAACTTAATTCGGGCCTATATAAGCCAGCCCACCTCGGGCCTGTCAGTTTGCCCAATAGGCCCCTGAGGAGGGCTCTCATCAGCGTGCTAGGCCAACTCGTGCCCATCAACATGCTTGCCCACTGACGACTCTTCAGCCACTGAGGTCCGTGGCTGACTCCACAGGGCGACAGTGGCGGTCCTCTGATGATCGAGAACGATGGACGGTGGTACCTGATGGGCATAGTGTCGGCCGGCTACTCGTGTGCGCAGGGCAAGCAGCCAGGTGAGCAGTGCAACGATACAGCGCGCCAGTGTCAGTCTAGCAGGAATCCGCTTGCTTCTGGAAACCCTGGTGCTAACCATATCGAGAGTAAGGACGGCTTCACAAATCGAACGTGTACCGTGCCGTGGCCAGGGGGAGAGGGACTTTGAGGGCTTGTGGCCCTCCCTCCTCCCCCCCCCCCCCCCGAGGGCTTCACTAGGTACTTTGGCGATTTAAGACGCGCACAGGGCTCCTAAAAAACGAACCTTCGGGGCACCCACATGGGACCTTAAGCCTAGGACCATTCCCGAATGAGAAACAAGGCCCCTGCAACGAAGAGAGTGAGCCCCTCGGCTGAACGTCCCTGTCCGCCCCACTCCTATGCCTCGACTTGGCTCCTATTGGGCGAAGGACCGACATGACTAAACTTATACAGCGTATTATCGGCATTTTTGTGTCAGCCATCGCAAGAAGAGCGTTAAGCAAAGGACATTTGAATTCCATCGTTACACTCCAAATTGTGTAGCCGGGTATAGCCTTATATGTTACCCAGGGATGTCAATTTTGGTAAATTATGGGGGTCCGAACCGAAAGCCCGACAACCCATCCCCCACATTTTTTTCTCACCGGACTTATCAAACTTGAATTTGATTAAACGCAAGATGTTTTTAATCTTTGTATAATTTAGAAGTCTTGCACGTGAAGGCGCCCCTTTAGAGGCCACCTTACGGCGCCGGCGGCGCTCTTCTATGACGGCCACGGGAGACGCCACACACTTAGGTTGTGGGGGACGGGGACGGGGTTAGCCATGGACTCATTTTATCCCCATATTCCATAGCCTTTCACTTTGACCTGAAAAGCAATTGCGTGTCTTACGGCGCTAGGTGTGCGAGGTTTATTGCATCGTTTATCCGCTCAGCTGTTACGATTTTATCTTGTGGCGAGAGCAACCATGACCTTTTGTTGAGAGTGGTGCGAGACGCCACTACACAGAAGGATCAAAGCAGGTAGTCTTCGTGTTATGATCATCTTTGACCTCATATCAACCGGTGAATGCTGACAGCGTAGCGCAACTTGCACGCTTGAACTGATTTAGTGTCAGTGACCTCGCAAACTAAAAACACGCACGCTTTGCATCAGCGGGCACGCGGTCACATCACGGTTTGCGACCTTGCCATTGACCCTGGCCTTTTCCCAGGTATCTACCATCGGGTCTCCATGACGTCTGACTGGATCTCATACGTCGCCGGAAATTAAGTATTACCTCCAGCGTTCGCGGCCCAGTCAACGCGAACAGCAGCTACCTACAAACTAGGCCCAGGTCTAGCAAAGCAAACGTTCTTTCACTCAGCAGCCCGTGCGCAGGTGCAGAATACGAGCATGTGATACACACGGGACTCGCTGAACGTGAGCCCAAATCCAGGCGTGCCAGAGTTGCGCAAGTGCTGCCGCGGACCAGTGAAGTGTTATGTTATTTATCGGCGCTTTCAGCCGAGTGCCGTCCCAGGATGTTACCGTTGTTATCCTGCATGTGCATCAATCGTTTTAGTTATGTACACCTAGTTTCTCAGATTGCGCGCACACTCCATTTGAGTGAAGCGCTTCGGCCCAAGTAGCCGAAGCGCTCAAAATGTGACCCGTATTTGGATAGCTCTTGACAGGAGTCGATGTTTGTAAGAGCAGTGCAGTGCCTTAGGTGGGAAGAACACCGCGGGCATGGTTGTCAAGTGTACTCAGATAACGTCAGCACCAAGCCTTGCATTGCGCAGGCGCCGATGGTCCCGAATCCGCTCCATACACGCAATGAGAGGACGGTAGTGAAGTGTATCCCAGTGTTGTTACACCTCCACGACTAACCTGTTTCCCAAGCAAGACCATGTGCGCTCTCAAGATGTTTGTGTACCGTTTTCATGCTAATACGACTTGTGAACAATGCGACCGTGTATTGTTGAACTATTTCAAAAGAAAGCCATGACAAGCAACAGCACGCCGCACAGGCTGCGAAATGTGTACCCACAAACCAAAACGGCTGCCTCGTACGAGACATGCGAAGTTTCCCGACATGGGTGTGTAGTCCACCGATGTAAGGAGACAGCGCAACGGCCGACATTAGTACTCCTCATTTTCCTCTCCCTCGCCCTCCACGGAGTCAATGCCAACCTCTTCATAATCTTTCTCCAAGGCGGCTAAATCTTCGCGGGCCTCTGAGAACTCACCCTCCTCCATACCCTCGCCGACGTACCAGTGCACAAAGGCGCGCTTAGCGTACATCAAATCAAACTTGTGGTCGAGCCGGGCCCAGGCCTCGGCGATGGCGGTGGTGTTGGAGAGCATGCACACGGCGCGCTGCACCTTGGCCAGATCACCGCCGGGCACTACCGTCGGCGGCTGGTAGTTGATGCCTACCTTGAAACCGGTGGGGCACCAGTCCACAAACTGGATGGTTCGCTTCGTCTTGATGGTGGCGATGGCAGCGTTAACGTCCTTGGGCACAACGTCGCCGCGGTACAGCATACAGCAGGCCATGTACTTGCCGTGACGCGGGTCGCATTTGACCATCTGGTTGGCCGGTTCGAAGCAGGCGTTCGTGATCTCGGCAACTGACAGCTGTTCATGGTAGGCCTTCTCGGCAGAGATCACAGGGGCGTAAGTAGCCAATGGGAAGTGAATGCGCGGGTATGGTACCAGATTTGTCTGGAATTCCGTCAAGTCGACGTTTAACGCACCGTCAAAGCGAAGCGAAGCAGTGATGGAGGATACGATCTGGCCAATCAGGCGGTTCAGGTTAGTATACGTGGGACGCTCTATGTCCAGGTTGCGGCGGCAGATGTCGTAGATGGCTTCATTGTCCACCATAAACGCGCAGTCGGAGTGCTCCAGGGTTGTGTGGGTGGTCAAGATGGAGTTGTAGGGTTCCACTACGGCCGTGGCCACCTGCGGCGCTGGGTATATGGCGAACTCAAGCTTCGACTTTTTGCCGTAGTCGACGCTGAGACGCTCCATCAGTAGCGAGGTGAACCCCGATCCAGTACCTCCTCCAAAGGAATGGAAGATCAGAAACCCTTGCAGCCCTGTAAAAACAGGTCGTAACTATAACACAAAACTGCCGCTGAGCTGCAGCAGCAACGCCTTGCAGCAACGGAAAATATGCTCGCCTCGCAGTGTAGCATGCCAGAGCACGAGCACTATAACGTGCGCATCGTTTGGCCCGAATGAGATAGAAACGTCAGCTGGTCCAAAGATGCTGGGCTAGCCACATCTTAACATTCATCTGATCATAAAAACTCGTTTGAAAAAGTGCACGCTCTTTGTTAACATTGCATGAACATAATTTCAGCAAATGATCTATAACATGACAATTCCTGTAGTTTGTTTAACACGGATACGGCCAGGGACTTTTACCAAGGGGCACGTTTTTCGGTCTGATGCCTTCACATGAAGTGCATGACATTGGCAATCCATCCGAACACTGACTGGATATTTATCATTACTATTACGTGGACCACATACTTGCTGCACCGTACTCCACCTAAACAAAATCTACCTGGAAACACAGTTTACTACATAACAGACCGACTTCGAGGAGCTAGTAACGGCGAGGTATTTTCAAGGTTATGAGGTCTCCGACCTCATCCCCCTTGGCCCGACGAGCAGGGTGAATGGGAGGCATTTTCGCTCGCCAATTACGGTGCACTGTGCACACACACCATTCAATAGCCTACACTCTCATCTTTACCTGGGGCCGTGACAGTGTGCGGCCAGACCCGGGCGTCCTGTCCCGTGAGTGTTACGCGCTGTCAGTTCGTTGTCTTGTTCTACTGAGTGGCGGCAGTGGTTGGTCGGGTTTGCGGATTTCATCCGCCAGTGCACGATATTGCCGCTAGATGGTGCGCGCTGTGATCGACAGGAATTGCTTTGCCTGCGCAGAGGTCCTATCTTTTGTACACAAAAGGTGGCATTTTCCGCTGCTGATCGAGGCCTGGTATGTTGACTACGGTCCGGCAAGGTTTGTGGATGCCATGCCGTTAACAGTTAGGAATTTGCTGATGATTACCATGAGGTACCGTTAAATTGCCGCCTAGGTTACTAATTTAGCTTTACTTGGCGGAGTACCTGGGGACTGCTTGAAGCCATACTGGTAGCTCACGGATGGGCTACAATGTCTCCCCATCATAACACAAGACAGTACTTTTAGCACTATTCCTCACAGAATAACCAAGGGAAAGGAAATGCAGGTGTTACTGTTTCGGCTGCATGTCCTCGTAAAAACTATTACGAGCATTAAATTCAAAATTGCCTGCCGATCCCACACGATTTTTCAGTTTTTTTCCCAAAATAGCGAGCCATAATTTGTACAAGTTATCAGCATTCAGAGGATTAAACAAGAGGTAACTGCCAGTCATCATTGCGATAGTGAATATCTAACTAGGGATTACAAACTTGTACATGCAAACGTGCTAAAATAAACAGTCCATCACGCACCATGCATGAATGCAAGCGATTTTAACAGGCAACACACATCACCTTTACATGCAGAAGGTTCCACGTTAGCACGCACCACGCGCTAAGGCTCTTACCACATTCGCATTACCGGCCATGAGCCCTGTACGCCTAGGTCTGGTCGCCGACTTCCTACAAGAGTGGATTCACTTATTTTCCTGCTTAGATGACTCCGCGCTCTGTAATGACTTTAATGTCCAGAAGGGATGTAAGGTCTATACCTCTACGAGTGTCTTGTCAAAAAATGGTCGACGGAAAGGCTATTCCCTATTCTATTGTTTGAGTCTTACAAGTGTTCAGTATATCTCCGACGAAACGGGGTCATGGACTAGACTATACGACCTAGACGATATCTCTGGTTTTTTCAGTTTACAATTAAGTTCGTAAGCCATGCGTTTCTGCGTGCAAACCCAAGGAAACCTCGACTTGCACAAGTAATTCCTTTTGCCACTCGGGCGCTTAAGCTTAGATGGAAGATTCCGCCACATTTTCAGCTCATTGTCGTTCTTACGAGCAATGCTTACGCGCAGACAACGGCAGGGCAACGGCTCACGCAATTCTTCCACAGTGATGGCGCCATGTCACAGCCATCTGGATAGGTGCCCCGCAAGGGACTTTTTTGCTGAAGGACCATTGCCTTTATGGCCGCTAGGTCATTTTTGCATAGAGCCTAAGTACCATCCGCGGATGGATGGCCTACAGCTGAGCATTTGCAATTATGTTCTCGTTAAAGGGAGTGTCTCACATTTTTATGGGATTTTGAAATGAAACAACCGTCTTGAAGACCGTTTGGTGCAGGTCATAATCCCGCCATGATGACCTAAAGCCCTCTAATTTTGCGCTACACGCCCGCGAAAACGAAGAGTATTTCGGGGAGAGTACTTCAATGTCACCTTGGCATTCATGGCATTATAATAACGTCGCTGAAATCCTGTCATTCCATGAGCCATGCAGTGATCAAGGCCGATACCAATAGAATAGTCGAGTTGTTCATATCTAATGTTCGTGAGCACGATCTCCAGATACAACGACCGTCAATTGGGTCTCAAACAACGCTGCGCAAGGTGCGATAGCGTAGTCAAACATTGGCATATCGAGGAGCATATTCACTCAACAGGGAAACTGTCTCGTCTAAGGCAGTCTCTTCTGCTTCAAAGTATGCCATTCGTTAAAAGTGAGCTTGTTTCATCATATCCGATGCTTGCTTTAATATTTTCACATGTGAAACATTCCCTCTAGTCATGTGTCCCCCCCCCCCCCCCCAATTTGCACTGTCGTCGGTGTCAACACAAATGACGCCACCGGCGGGGGCATTAACCACGTCTTCCCTTTGAAATACGGCTGCTCCAATTTGGTACACCCTCATTGAAAGTGAGAGGGCCGACAGCGTATCATGATCTGCTACGCTTCCAGCGCCTACCTTTTTCCGAAAGATGAAACTCGACTATTCGCTTTGCTACAAGCAAGGGCGGGCCATGGTCTTTCGGCATTGTGAATTGGGCATTCTTATCCTCACAATAACGGACCTTCGATACAACCAGCGCTTTCCTGAACGCGTCATCTGGCCGATGCATTCTTGTGTACTGAAGGTTGAATGTTGTCAGAATTTGGTTACCGCCCGCATGACTAACTTGGAACAAAACTTTTGCGGAACGATGTCCACTGGGGCGTCACACGCTTCCATAAATTTGGCGATTTTTCCAGCTACGGGTTCAGATTTCTCTGAGAACTCGTAAGGTCCAATTAAGCACAATGACATAAAATAACTTCTGCAATATATGTGACCTTCAAGGTCAAATGAAGGGAACTTCTTACCACCAAACATTTACCGGCGGATTTTAAGCATGAGAATATTCAAAAGCGTAGGAACAAGCGTCCGTCAAAAAGTCCTGCCCTCTGAAGGTAGCGTAGTTTATGCGATGGGGATACCCTAATGCTTGGAAGGCTAGAACTAGCCGGTAATTCTCGGAGATATGCAGTTTCCAGTCATCTGGGCCAGAGCTCGACTCGAACACGCGCTCCGATGGCGGTCAAATTGACCTGCAAAGGGCTTTTCCGGAAAGGTTTCCGAACGGCGCGGCACAGCCGCGCCACACTTTGCACAGATGTTGACAATTAAACTGCGGATCGTTTAGCACCAAAATTAAGATGTACCTCATGTCACTGACCTACGGCAAGTCAGTCAGGCCATGGACTCAGCGATGCCAATTCCTAGGGAATCGTTCAATCTGACACGACAACTGAGAGCTAGACCAAGCTGTATGTCTCTGAAATATTTTCCTAAGCAACACAACCATTGAATGAGCAAATTTCATTGACCTAAGGCCAGGTATAAAGGTCACACCCAGTTGAAAACCAATCTTTTTTATTACTCTAGGGTTTGCTGTATGCGGTGGTTCGTGGCACTCATTTCAAATTTATTGATAATAGGAACCACATTGTGCATCTTCCGTGGACTCCTTGAAGGTCAGAATAGGTTACTGACCTAAAATGACCCAGCTCAGCATCTTGTTCTTAGGGACATGCTATCTGGCGTCACCTTTGTCGCTTATTAAAATGCAAAACCCATAAGTTTTGTATGATCTTGGCTACCATGACTTTTAAAAGGTCAAACGTGGTCACTGACATTAAATGAGCATGTGATCTTTTGCTCAGAAGATATTTAGGTTCTGGGGGCACTTTGAAGACCAACATGGAGTATGACTTTGCTTGACCCCAAGGTCAATGCCTAGAAATATCAAAAATTGACTCTAGTCAATTTTGACTATTGACTCAAGTCAATTCACGTACGGACCAACACACCATATAAATGTAGTGTCTCTAGTTCTCTTATTTCCTGAGATCCCAGGGGGGGGGGGGGGGGTCAACCTGATCCCCGCCCGAGCGAAGGGTACCCAACCGGCCACCCGGGCGAGTGCTAGAGAGGAACGTTGGAAGACCATGCCTTTTTGACGGGCGCTAGTTCAGGCGCTGGTGAATATCATGACAGAAATGTTACAAAAAGGGATAACATTTTGGTGATATGGAGCTCGTCATCCCTTGAGCGCGAATTTGGCCTTGAAATGTCTTGAGTTTTTATGGCCTCTAGTTTCTTACGCGGCGAACACTGATGCCTGAAAATTTGACATTGGCCGGTAAGTTTTTGGTGATGTGGAGTTTTCTGTCCTTTGAGGTTGAAGGTCACGTGATATTGCAAGATAAATGTTATTTTTGATGGCCTCGTGCCATCATTCACCGTCTGACGCGTTTTCAGACAAATCAGAACTTGTCGCTGAATAAATCGCCAACTTCATGAACACATCACACAACACCTTGTACGTCGGCGTCCGGCCGCAAAAGCAAAGTACAGCCAGTCCCTTTTTCGGTACGAATATATCTGAATGCTGCAGTTACGCAACTGTTCCACCTTGTCGCCACATGCCCACTATCATGGGGGTCCCGCCATAACTTGTGGCGGGATGACAATAACCACGGTAGGTTTAACGGCGGCCAGGCTGTTGTGCGTAAAAGCCGCAACGCATTTGGGCGTTGTGACGTCAACCCTCAGTGTGAGCAGTTTTCATCCAAACGCATCAGGAAAACGACTGGGTCATATACTATTCTGTGGCCAGTCAGGCCGGACATCTGGGGAAAGAGTCCGCAGCATAAGCGTATTTATATATATATATATATATATATATATATATATATATATATATATATATATATATATATATATACACACATATGTAGTTCTGGCTGCGCATACTTTTACTGCAGAAGTGTGGTGAGTTAAGCATCAGTGGAAACGCGGGAACGGAGCTCATTATGGCACGAGTGCTTAGACCGCTCAGAAGTAATTGGAAGAAAACTGATGCTTCCTGACGCAAAATCCAAAGACTGCCCCGTCTTTGGATATTCGGAGCCGCCTTCGCTCCTACGCCCCACATTAACTGTAGTCAGCTGATAAATCAAACCAAAATAATCGGTAACGAAAATTAACATTCTCCTTTTGCTGACCATAACCGCAGAAACCTATCACAACGGAGCATCTCAAAGACCCGGCCCAGCAATGTTCCCAGTTTTCAGACCTAGCGCGCCGAGCCACGCTGTGTCAGGACATATGTCGGGCAATTCAAAAATAAAGAGGACGGGGAAGACGAAGGCGGGAGAAAGTGGCTGACTTCTCAGATGGATTATAAATGATCACTTGAAATTTACTAAACTGCGACCAGTACTGCACCTATTCCCCTTAGTGGAACCCTGCATTTAAGCACATTTCGAGCATAAACTGGCGGTGTAATAACTGGTGGACAACGACATGCGTTAACCTTTCTCCAGCAGCTGCGGGCTAACGTCCGATTTCATCCGCAAGGATCGCATTACTCGCGCCACAAATACTCGTCGATCCGCTTTTAAAGTCCGGGCAGCATACTCCGTCCGGGACGTTACCACCCAGACTTTGCAGCACCGGGAGCACATGATTGCTGAGTCACGTACCTGTGCACTGGTCCGCCAGTTTCCTGATTCTATCTAGAACCAAGTCGACCAGTTCCTTGCCAATCGTATAGTGGCCACGGGCATAGTTGTTGGCTGCATCCTCCTTGCCCGTGATCAGCTGCTCAGGGTGGAATAGCTGGCGGTATGTCCCAGTCCGAACCTCATCTGGAGAAAGGAGCATGTCCAGTTCAGCCTATGACTGTTCCCAGCACTATTTGTAAAACTATATGTTATATCTCCGGTCCAAAATGCTTGGCGGCAATGTAGCCCCACAACGTTGGCTTGGTTTTCAGCCTACCACTCTATTTACGCCAAATTTCAATTTACGTGAGCTCGCCAACTTTCACTGAAGTAGCAATATTCTCTAATTCCAATTCGCCAAGCCTTGAGCTCTTTTTAATTGATTAACTTGCAGTCGGTGGTAAATCCATATAATCTAAGGAATACAAACACCCACGGCGCGGTAAACAAGCAGTACATTTCCAACAGCTCACTTATTTTACACTCCGCTCTGAAAATATAGCCGCTTGCAAAACTAGGCCGAAAGGGTAACACTTTCTCCCTTACAGTAGTTAGGCGTACGAGAACACTTCAAAACGGTTACAACGGCATTCACCAAAGTACTATTTTTAGCTATTTTCAAATCAGATCCCGGGCTCCACGCATAATTAAACCGGGGCATTATGCGTACTAAACGCTTCTGTACGTCGGTGTTATCGCGCCTATCAGGGGGCCAATTTACACCGTATCATCCGTCAAGTGAGTGAACAAGACGCAATGGTGCGGCTGTCTCATAAACCTCCCAGTGGTGTCAGTCTTCGGGGGTGTTGTTTGTAGCCGACCTCCAGGGACACCAAAAATGACCTTCAAGGGGTGTCAATTATGAAAATCCAGGAATTCACTTGCCACTACGCCCAGAACTGCGCAATGGAACTGCACAAAAATAGCGCAACGGCCTACCTGCGTCCTGGGTACAAAACGACTCATCGGCGAACACCCATATAACATCGCATAACCCGAGGTTTCCTGGCTTGTGAAAATGTATCAGACTGCTCAATGCTCGCTTGGCGAATGCAGGGCTGGCTTGAACTCCCACGCTGGAAGTGCCGCATTCGGGTTTCAATGAAGCCAAAATGATGACTTGACCCGATCTACACAATGGTAATGGTGCCCCGCTTACGTGGTAAAATCTATCCTACCCTATGTATCTCCATTGCTCGCCATGTCATGCAGCCTGGCATGACCCGGATTTCCTTGGCGTGTACAAATGCTGGTTTTGCACAGTTCATGACTGTAAAGATGCTTACATCCTCAGATGAAAACTACAGAGTCGCATGGAGCTTTATAGGTCGTACGAGCTCAGTGAACCAGCTCGACCGAGACCAGAGGTTACCAAACCGCCTAAACGGGCCTGCTGCAGCCGCGGTCTGAAGTTCGGCCCAAAAGCACGACTTCATGCACTACACACCCGGCACGACTCGGAAACCAGTCGATTCCCCAGAAGCAAGCCTTCGAGAATGACCTAATATTTTTGCAACCGGACACGACACGGACAGTGATTGGTCTCAAACTGGACTAAATTTTGTTTACATATCCACGGTAACGAGGGCTGCCACGCACCACTTTACCCCTACATCGGAAAAAAATTGCGGAAGGGGGCAGAACCTATCAAGACAAAGGTCAACGAGGTACAGGAAACCTGAAAGTGGCGTGAAATTTTGCTGAGCATTCAGCAAAGGTATCAAAATATTTAAGTGTATTCAAACATTTAACTCAGGTGGTTTTGGTTCCTCAATAACGTCACCCCCGGCGATCACGAGTCCAAATCCTGCGTAATCACTGCCGATTGCGCGCTCCTTAGTCCGATTCATTGCACCGGTAGTTCACTGAAGCATAACAGCCTGCGAAACAGAAGACTCAGACCCAACAACCCCATTGAATGCACCATGAGCTTCGGAATTTAACCTTGGGCTCACTCGAGCCACAATGGCCCGGAGCAAACGTAAAACTAAGTTTGTAGACGCCACGTGAATACATTTGAAGTCGGACAACGGTGCTATCGTAAACCGTCGTAAATGCTTAAAACGGAGGTGGTGGTGATTGTATCGGGTAAAGGTCTCATCACCAAATACATCGTTCGACAGCGATCATAAATATAAAGATGTCAGCGTATTATCATTTTTTGTAGCATACGAATTTGAGATTGTCAAAAACCATATCAAGTCCGGGGAAGATGATCGTTCACATGTCGTCTGATCTGACAGTGACGACCACTCACCCACAACGGTAGGCTCCAGGTCCACGAAGACAGCTCGAGGCACGTGTTTCCCTGCGCCAGTTTCGCTGAAGAAAGTGTTAAAGCTGTCGTCACCTCCGCCGACAGTCTTATCAGAGGGCATCTGGCCATCTGGCTGAATGCCATGCTCCAGGCAGTATAACTCCCAGCATGCGTTGCCGATCTGAACGCCCGCCTGCCCGACGTGGATTGAGATACACTCGCGCTGGAAAAGAAAGTGCACGCGTCATTGACATAAAGTTCAGATCTCGTCCAAGACTGCTTGAAGAATGACAAGGAAGTAATAGCCAGTCTTGGACCGCCGTGCACGGAACCGAGTGCACAATTTTGGCGACAAGCCGCAACCTAGCCCCATGCAGACGTGATATTTGAGGACAGTAGATATTCTCACCACGTGAACGCGGGGCATTTTGGGTTCAACAATTTGGTGTAGGAATGCATTGGTACCTACTGTTAGAAAAAACATTGTACATCATTCATCATGTTTAAGGCAGGAACATGTCATAAATGATCATTAAACAGGCAGACTCATGCTCCTACCTCCGGATTTTAATAACTACGATGGCGAGGTCCCGAGCGCCGCACTCAACTACATCGACTCCCCAGCGCCGTTTCTGCTTATCAAGAACCATAAAGATACACGGGGGCAAGGTAACGATAACAACGCAATGAAATACATTTCTTAACGCGTGTAGGTAGGTTTATGAAACAGACAGGCCAGAATAGTCCAGAACATGCCACACTAGCCTAACCTCCCTACCCTATTCCCTTCAACCGTGTCCCATTGGCATACATGTTTCATGTCATATACATGTACCGCATTAAGTTTTGCTTTGCCGCCATATTATCATTTTGCTTTTCATTCCCCACCCAGAGACGTCATATCTGCCCACCATGCCGACCAATCTAGTGTGGAATACTGCTTGGATACGCAATAACCATATTTCATTGGGTTCCTGTTACCTTGGCCCCGGGCATTTTTATAGTTTTTGATATGCGGTAATGTTGAATGTCGTGATCACGCGTAGTAATGGCGTCGGGGTCGCGGTTGCCGCGTGCTTGCGGCGATCGGACGTTCGCTATCGTAGTTATTTAAGTTCCAAGGTAAGAGTTAAGATGATCCGTTTAATGATCAATTACGATATGCTCTGCCTTAAAAACGATTGATGTACAATGCTCATTTTTAAGATGAGGTAGCAATGTACGTCATGACCCACAAATTTTATTGTTAACCAGACGCTTTACGCAGATCAATTTTTATCCAAGTAAACCATCCATGACTTTTATCACTTCCTTTGAATTACAGCAGTAAGCGGCTTCACGTACGCGCACCTTTTTACTGGGACTTATTAAACATCCTACGACATAATTCCAAAACATAACAAGCTGACACACATCTCTTCATAGTCTTACCATGCTTTCGAAAGATGTAAACTAGTCCCTGAGGAAGAGCCTGGAAGCGGCGTGACGAAGTCGCGTAACGTAGCACCTCTCACACGCGCGGAGCCAGATGTCGGAATCAAACGGCCGTCAGCCCAGCAATTCGAAGTCTCGCGACTGGTTGCCATGGAAACAACCGCCACTGCCAAAAATAGGATTTTATTGGTCCAGGCCGTCCCGCTGTGTCGGGATTTCATTCTGCGAAGGATTTACCCAAAACTTTCAAGTCATTTGGGGTTCGACCGTTCGGGACGAAATAGGATCGTTGGAGCCCATGATTCATATGCAGTGTCGGGATTTGCCGCAATTCTGTAAGATAACATATTGGCTTCCAACAGGTTGATTTATGTGATGTTATCATCGCACATAAGATAACTGTATGGAATAAAATTAATTGGACAACAAGAATGGCCAATTCCATCACCAAAATATCCATCATTGTCATCAACTCAAGTTGCATGACGAAACGGCCGATTTAGCACTAGAAGGCTGAGTTATTACCATGGATACCAGTTAAAATCCGGCATAGTAAACCGACCAGACATCAGGACTTAAACATCCCATTACGGGTGGAAGGGCATAGACAGTCACCAACATAAACTAAATTCAGGGGCCCTGAAGAGCCCCTGTTCGGCACTAGAGTCCGTGACTGGTCAGACCCTTCTATTGTCTCATTGACAGGGGCGGATCCAGGATTTCGTCAAGGGGGGCACGCAACATTGTGGGGCCCCCTAGAGCTTGGGCCCGCTCCAAAAATGTCCTTGCATTCCGGTCAGTACTTTTTAAGACAAATAGCATTTATATATATATATAGAGAGAGAAGGATGAGATAGAGAGAAAGATATAAGAGCCTCGCAGCGCAGCGACGATGCGCGAGAGAGCGAGCGCGCGCGGCGCGCCGGCTGCCGCTCGCCGCGCGCGCGCGCGTCGCTCGCGCGTCGCGCGCGCGCTCGTCGCCTGCGCGCGCTCGCGCGCTCGCGCGCGCTCTCGCGCGCGCTGCGGCGCCGCGCGTCGCTGCGCGCGCTCGTCGCGCCGCTCGCGCTCTCTCGCTCGCGCCGCGCGCGCCGCGCTCGCGCGCTCTCTCGCGATATCTAAGCTCGCTCGATCTGACATATATCTACATCTAGGACGAATCTAGATCGAACATATATAGATGATATATATATATATATATATATATATAAATATATATCTATATCTGTATATATATATGTTGGTTCCGTGTATATATATATATATATATATAATATATATATATATACACGGAACCTACCTTACTGTGCGCAGTCCTATAAAGCTAGGTGTGCTACATATGCAAGTACATAGAAGTTCATTTATGTCTTACAAATTCTGTTAAATCCTGTAATTTTGAGGCTAAACATTTCGAAACAACAGGCAAAATGAACTCGAGTTGGCTGGTGACAATCAGCAAAACCAAGCGCGGATTTCATTCCCAGTTTTTCTACGGCTAGCCAGCTGGACGATGTAATCATCTGATGGCTGATGACAAATGCGGAATATTTGCTTTTTTATAAAATAGCACAAAATATCGTGGCATCCAAATACGTCAAGAACGTAATGCACTAGTATAATAAGTGTCCCACACTCAAAAGCCAATCGAAATGACACATACGACGTCGGCAGCACGTAAATTACGTTCGACAATCGCGCGTAAAAGTTCATCGGCGCACATCCGACTGCTGCTCTAAGGCAACGGCACCGAGACTAACAGGTAGGGAACCTGAGAGATCATGGGTGTCGCAGGAGTCCAACAAAATGGCCCCCGTCAATAAGTATAGGGTCTTCAGAGCAAGAAAAAAGAACCCAAGGCTAACGTGACGATCGTAGCGCCCCTAAACAATCGGTAGTGCCCCGGCAGGCTGACATATGAGGTTCCGGACAGAGCACAGTACCCTCTGAGCAAAAGCAGCTATCCAAGACCATGAGTTAATGCCCTTGTGCTATCAAGAGTGCACGGCCAGGCTAACAAAACGAACCTCGATGGGAGTAGAGTCCTCCGCAAATAAGATCAAAGGGAAAGAGCCCTTGATCAAAGTAGAGGACCCCTGAGCATCGAGTGTCTCGGTACCTTACCTTATAAGCGCCCCAGCAACAGCGCAAAGCCCTCCAAGGAAGTCGAAAAACCGAGACTAATATGAAGGGCCCCTGAGCAACTGAGTGTATCCTGGCACGTGGGGCCCCGGAGCTGGCGTATAGAGCCTTTCGGGCGAATGGGAAGAATCCGTGGAGGAAATCCTGCAACGACCAAGAGTGTCCAGGCATGGAATCAGATAGCTTCCCAACGACAGAGTTAAACCCTACCAGAAAATGCAAAGAGGTCAAGGGAAACGTGGAAAGCTCCGTAGCGATCAGATTGACCTGGCAAATGGACATCTAGGGCCAGGGCAATCACCATCGTAATGCATTTAGACAGCGTAATGAGCCCCAATATTTCCTCCAAGCAGTGCCTTCTCAACCAACGAAGAATGAACTTCGTTTGCTTATGAACTTTTACTTTTACTAGCAATTGTTCTTGGTCGTCTGTAGCCCCAAAGGCGTCCAGTTCGGTTGTGCTTGTTCTTAGAAAACTGCGTCCGTTCGGTCGGTTATGGGTCCCTTCGGAGCCTTTAGGTCCTCTCGGCATTGTCCGTAGGGCATGGTCCCGTGCCTTCAGTCATCCTCTGCATCCGCCACCGGCTCGAGCAGCGTAATGGATGGGGTCTGTCAAGAACACAAGGTCATCCATTCAAACAAGAAATACTCACGACACAATGTGTAGGGCTCCCAACGATCGAGTGTGTCCGGGCAGGTTGACATATAAGGCCCCAATCAAGAGCGTAGGGCCCTCCATTGAAATGGGAAGCACCCAAGGGCCAATGTTAGGGGCCTTCGAATGATCGAGTGTGCTCGAGCAGGTGAACAGATAGGGCTCCCAACAAGAACGTAGAACAAGAACCTTCATTCAAATAGGAAGCACCCAAGACCCAATGTAGGGGGCCTCCGAATGATCGAGTGTGCCATAGCAGGTTTACACATGGGGTCCCCGTCAAGAGCGTAAGGCCCTCCGTTTTAATAGGAAGTACCCAAGACCCAATGTAGGGGGCCCCCGACTGATCGAGTGTGCCCGAGCGGATTATCAGATGGCCCCGACAGAAGTGTAGGGGTCCGAATTCAAACACCAAGGCCTAATATACAGCGGTCCCGAACGCTCCAGCGTGACCGAGGAGGCGAACAGATGGGTTCCCGACAAGTGGGCGGAGCCCTCCATTCAGATAGTACATGGTACACAATGTGGAGGGTCCCCGAATAATTGGGTGTGCCCGAGTAATTTAACAAATGGGGCCACCGCCAAGAGCGTAGGGCCTTCCGTTCGAATATGAAATACCCACGGCATGACGTAGAGGGCCCCGAATAATCGAGCGCGCCAGAGCAGGTTAACAGATGGGGCCCCGAAAAGAGCGGAGGGACCTCCAGTCAAATAGGAAGTATCCAAAACCAGATGTAGAGGTCCCAACGATCGAATGGGTGCGGGCATCTAATCAGGAGGGGCCCCGACAAAAACATAAGGCCCTTCTTTCAAATAAGAAGCATCCATTATCCAGTGTGCAGCGCCCCCGAACGATAGAATGTACCCGAGCAGGTTATCGAATGTCCCCGATAGGAGCGCAAGGCCTCTTACTTTAATCACTAAGACACAATGTGCAGCGCCCCCGAATAGTACATTGTGGCAAAGGATGCGAACAGAGGGAGGGGCCGACAAGTGTGCGGGGCCCCCATTCAAAACGGACGTGCCTAAGACCCAGTGAAGAGTGCCTCGAACGATCGAATGTGCCAGAGCAAGTTATCAGATAGGCCCCACAAGAGCGTAGGTCCCCCCCCCCCCCCCCCCAATTCAGATAAGAAGTGCCCACGATCCAGTGTGGAGGGTCCCCGAACGACCGAGTGTGCCCAAGTAGGCTATCAGATGGGCCCCCGACAAGAGTGTGGGGCCCTAAGCAAGTGACAGAGAATTGGAAACGCCCTAGACCAATGAAGAGTGCCGCTGAGCATATCGCGAGTGCGTCGGTAGGCTAACTGAGGTCCACGTAAAAGACCCACCCCATGAGCAACCGAAAGTTCTCCGGCAAGATAAGATATGGGGCCCCGGCTATATTCCACAGAGCCTTTCTGGTGAATGGAAAGAATCCGTGGAAGAGCCCTTGGTTGACAAGAGTGCCCTGGCACACTAGCAGGAAGGGCTCAACAACAACACAGGGCCCTCCGAGCAAGTACAAAGAAACCAAGGGCAATGTGGAAGGCTTCTTAGCGATCGGAATGACCCTGCAAGTGGGCGTATAGGTCCCCCGGAAACAGCATAGGGCCCCTAGGCAGCGTAATGAGGCTTAGAATTCCCAATTCACAACTTTTTCAATGACTGAATATTTGTTACGCCTCGTGGACCCTTCACTTTCGCTTGCAGCTATTCCTGGTGGCTTGGAAATCCAGAGGTGTTCAATTTTGCCGGTTTTTTTTGTTGCTGTTGTTGTTAAAATCTGCACTTATTCGCCCGGCTATGGGCCCCTTGAAGCCAATGGCCCCCTTCGGGGCCCAAGGAGATAGCATGATCCCGTCCCGCTCCCGTCCCCCTCTGGATCCTCCCCTGGCCATTGTTGACTGTTCCATCAAAATTTCTCGTATCTCCATTCTATGGCAGACAAGAGGGTCTCAACGGACTAGGAGGCTCTCGCCGACACAACCTCCCCATAAAGCACCCTGTGCCTTGACACAAGGAGCCATCTTGTTTTGGGGGCTCCGGCCAACGCAGGAGGACTTCAGTAACGATTGCGAACACAGGCCTTGTCCCTGCTTCGCAACCGGGACCTCAGGGACCAAACCAACTCAGAGCCAACTGCTCAGCATTGGTGGTCTCGGACCTACGTAGACGCCTTTTAAGTCCCGGTGACCTCCGACAGGCGCGACGAGCCTCTTTGGCCGTCCTTTGAGGGCCAGGCCTTCGCCCCAGGTTCGTCCCCAGGCCAGTCCTTGGCCGGGGAACGATCTGGCAGATCGTTTCCCAGCCAAGGAACACCAGTCTGGTAGAATTGTGCATTCTGGTTATTTTAAATTCATTTTTGGTGACCGGTTAGTAGGGAGTCTTGCTTTATTGTCCATGGTCATCCTACATGTCATTTTGTCACCCAATGCCCAGAATCTAAAGATTTTTCAAGCGATAAAATTTACTTACATAGCACGCCGCCAGACTTCTCGAATTCGGTACCAGTCATGACGGGCAGCGTGGCACAGTGAGATGATGCCGCATTCGTGATAAGATGTTTATGGGTTCGAATTCCACGGGCAGAAACACTTCTTCAGGCTAACGTTTGCATTTTGGCTCTGACAGAAACCTGAACACTCGCCCTGATGGGGAGGGGGAGGGTGATGCAGCTCCCCCCCCCCCCCCCCCGATGGTTTTTAAGGCTACCTCTCCGGCATATTGTGCAATCACACCCAAATTTTCGGCAGCCCAGCGGGCTTCTAGCTTTTCTGGTTTCGGAGAAGAGGCGGTTTTTTAGGAACACTGCACGACGGTCCCTGCCGGCGCGGTCAGTGGGCGGCAACCGGCGGTGCCGCGGAGCACGCCGGCATGCCGACATTGTTACATTCAAGGGGCTACATATTATAAATGTGTACTTAAAACACATAAAAACATACATAAATGTACTCATCACATCACATACACCACATGGGGCATGCTTCTTGTGGGTATGATATTGTAAAGTCAAAAAGTTTGATTTTCTGGAAAACTGGCCTATGAATTGCCGTTATCACCTTAATTATTTCCTAACATTATAAAACTAGTTCCGATCTCGGAATCTCGTGAAGACCAATCCGCTAGTGTTTTCTTGTGAGCTCTATTTTTATTGCTTTGGAAACGCTCGGGAATCACATGAACCCCCTCTTTCCCAGCCCCCCCCCCGCGTCATGAAAAACGGCAAATCAGAGCGAGAGTTGAAGTTTGTAATCACATATAACGTGTCATAACTACAAATTTCACTTTATGACAAGAAATGAAATAACTGATAGTCGTTTTATCAGGGCTTTTATGCACACAGCAGCTACCCACATCTCATCCTTGGGTCATTCCGCAGCGTTCTAATTGGCCCTTCTGAGGCGTCGTAAGATTTGGGACGTTGCACACGGTTGGCACCAATATTTCTTGTGACATTACAGCGACTCGAGCAATTTCGAAGAAAATACAGACTGGATGAGCCCGTTAGAGCATTTCGTGGTTGTGTTCTGCACAGTTCGGCCCGGGCAACTTTGATCACACGGCCAGGTGCAGCTGATGAGGAGAACACGTTCGGGTCTTTCGACCGCCAGCTGCAGTCGTCGGCACAGGGACAACCACGCCATGTATTTATTAGGGCCGCAGCCTGGCGGGCACCTTCGAGTCGGTCGGGCGTGATATGAAGAGCTCTGCCTAGAGCGAGACTGTCGGCAGACCTGATCCAGGCTGATCAGCCGAAATTAAATACATAATGGGAAAACTCTGCATGTGTTTCCATTGGGCTGGGTTAGGGCAATAAATGCAAATAGCTATTGCAGGGTCTTCTTTATGAAATTTTACTGAGAGATGGGGGGGGGAGGGGGAGCTGGCTCATTCCATGTCATTCAAATAAAGAGGCGGCGTTTTTAGGGAGTAGAGGGAAACGTGGGATTAACTGCCTTCGCATCTTTTCAAGTGTGGCGAAACTATTTGCTGCCCATCTGAAATTTTGGTTAGCCCGGAAGGGGCCTTCGGATATATGTAAGTAACTCGCTTAGTTATAAACAAAGAAGCGAAGAGGGCCCATCTTGGGTCCGACAGGCGCCATGTTAGGCTCAGAGAAGAGTCGTCTCGAACCCAGCAAGAGTTTGCCTTTGGCTGGAAAGGACCTACGTCGAGACAGAAAAAACGCTTTTTTCAGCCGGGCACCTTTCAAACAGAAGTAGGTCGTTCCTGAAATGGCACACAGTCTTATAGGTTTACTTAATCTGCAAGCAAGTTAGAGCACTATTAGAGAAGCCACTTAACATTATCATCACTTTCAGAGCGAATTGGACACTCCATGCATCCAAGCATCACTGCCTCCTGCGCCATCCTTTGATTGCCGCGCAGTGTTCCTAAAAAACAACGCCTCTCAAAAATCAGGAATGCTAGAGACAAGTTTTTGGGCCAAAATACGCGCAGTAGATGCTCAGAGGCTGCCAGAGGTTTTGGCACGGTTGCACGACACACCGGTAGGGAATCCTGAAAAGTATTAGGGAGGATACCCCCTTCCAGAGCGAGGGTTAAGCTTGCTATTTTATAGGGTGATTGCCACTTCTTTAAATGGTATGTTGCATTCTATATTAATAGATCATCACCATGATTCATGGACATGATCCTGTGCTGAATTGATTTCAGGACAACATTGTAGGGGATTAACATTTACCAAGGGCTGGGAACACCGCCTCTCCTGTGCCGGACACGTGGCCACTCCAGTGCCGAACGTACCGAGCATGCACCCACTTCAGTGCTGGGTACGCAGACACTCCTGAGCCGAGCATGCACACACTTCAGTGCTGGGTACGCGGACACTCCTTTATAAATCTGAGGTTTAGAAATCTGAATTTTGGGAGTTATGGAAAGCTATGAAACTCCATTTCAGACACTGAAGTTATAGACGCAGACCATAACTGTGATATGAAACAGTACATCAGCTCTCATCTTAGATAACGTAGCTTGCAACAATAAAAAAGGTTTGCAATCTGATAACAATGCGGTGGAGGGTGGTTGCTAATGGGTGCCATACAACCATACAAACCATACCATACAAACCAACCATACAAAACCGTCGTGCTCATCGGCCTTAACCCGCTACTCCGGCCACTCGTGCCTTAAAACTTTTGTCCCCACCACCAGGACTTTTGACATGGCTAGCAAACGATATTTTAGTGCGAAACGCGCTAATCAAAAAGGTTCGATGTGTTATGACGCGTTACATTTTCTTTACCTTTGTCTAGTGGGGGTTATCATATTTAAAGTTAATTTGCAAAGGTTTCTGATATATTTCACCTCAGGTGATAATTCAGAATGTTCCAAATTCCGGCGGTGGTAGAAAAGACACGTTTTGCGCCTGCTTACAACAAACGCGATCAACAGGCAAAGATACCATGTGGTATAAGCAATGCACTGTCCTTGACTTCATACCTATCTCTGTTTACCGCTCTCTCAGCGGTTTGATATCGGCCACGAAAAGAGTGCGACAACGAGCTTGATTGCAGCCACTCTCGGGAAAATCTACCGGACATCTTGTAAGGCGCGTGTACCCTACACTGTTGTTGTGCGATTACGACTGCAGGCGTCCACAAGCTTGATTATCATGGAACCATCCTCTTGAGAGAAGTGGGGGAGCCCAAGGGCACTATGCATTGGCCAAGGAGGGCCACCATCGACGCCAAATCGCTGATCTGCCACCGCTCTCAGCGTGATAAGATAGCTGACGGAGCCGTGTATAAAGCCGCCTGGACGAGGTCACGGGTCGCAGCTCAAACAGGTGCGCGGTGCTGCAGCAGCGGACGGGCTTCAGCTCGGACCATCGCAGGATTCGCTGCCTAACACTGCTGCCGCCGACGCCGATACAACACACCAACACGCCCTGGCATTCCTGAGGTAAGCCTTCGCAAAAAAGCCACAGTGAAGTGTGACTATCTGTTTCAATCATGGGATGAGTAGAGTGATATGGCTCAACATATTTGGGCGCCCAGTCTACCCCCCCCCCCGCCCCCCAAAACAATGGGTGTATGAAACAACCACCGCCACCTCAGGGGTCATGCCGCTGCCAACGGCGAACAACGAGATGAAGTTACCCAGCTGCTTCCGCAAACATAACCTGGTAGAGACCCAGTTCGCCAACTTGGGCAAGTCCAAGCGCAGAAGTGGCTTCCGCCGTCTGGCCTACTGCAAGATCGAAGGCACGAAGCGGCCGGGCATCATTTACGTGCCCGGCTACTTCTCCAGGATGTATATTGCCAAAGCCAACGTTCTTGAGGAGTACTGCCTAAAGAACGGATACTCGTTCATAAAGTAAGTGGTGCCTGATACTAGGAGCAGGCTGAACATCGTTTCGTCACTTCATCAAAACTCCACCGTCGTTCAAAAATTTTGCAGTTTTGTTCCAAATCTATATTCCGTCGTCAAAATAGCGTAGCTTCATCGCGAAAGGTCGTGATGTATTGCGGTCAATCTAACAAGACAAACACACCATTCTGGTGCACTTGTGACGTGCTTGACACTCATAGATAAGCACCTGTTACGTGACACACAAAGTACACTTGTGCCCCACTTCACAAGTCATACCGCCGCGTTTTGCTTGCTCCCTTCCAGCGTTGCAAGGTGGGGTATTTCCCATCTGCCTCCAGCGCGTATCTTAGCGGCATTTTATCTGAGTGCCCCAATGCCCTTTGTTCCTAGCTTCAGAGCTGCAAAGCATTGCATTCCGCCCTCTTACAAATCTACATGATAATCCACACCACAAACAATAGCCTTTCGCCTTTACCGGCGGTATCTTCAACCCACAGGTACGACCCGGAGGGCATAGGCGAGTCGCGTACTGACTCGGAGGTGTCGTTCACCGAGTGGTACGAGGACGCCTGCTATGTGGTGGAGCATCTGACGGACGGACCGCAGATACTGGTCGGCCCGAGTAACGGAGGTCAGTGGGGGCACTGTCCGGCGCAGCTGCAGGCGGCCGGCGGCTGGCACGATGACGTCATTCATGGGCTGAACGATGGAAACAATATGCTAAGTTTTGCATTTTGAGGAGGCTGTCAACAATTTCAGCAATGTTACACAGTTAAGTCACGTTTTTAGAAAGCGCCATATAAAGAAGGTGCACATAGTTTACATTCATTAAGTTGTTCTGTACTCATATGAATGCCGTTGCTGTTCTCTCCACCTGGATAGCCCATTCGGCATGACGCCTGAGACTCACCACAGAGGACCAGCTATGCCTGTAGATGACATGACCTCAGGTGTGATGCACCATGTGCTTATCATGACTTCCGTCCAACCGTTGACGTCCTTCACAGCGTGGATGTCGCTCCTGCTGGCGGCCAAGTACCCAGGGCGCGTCCACAGCATGGTGATGCTAGCGCCCGCCGTCAACCACGGCCTAGACGACGACCTGTTTGAACGGCTCCTGCAAGCACTGGACAAAGAGGTACGCTGGTCGCGTGTCATGGAAGCCGTTGACATTTTTAGATGGTGGCCAGCTGTGAAGATAATATCGGACGTTTATCTTTTTGTTGTTGTTGTAGTGTAGTACAGTTAGCATCTGCTGCAGATACGAGACATTTCTTACCTGAAAAGTTCATCCACTATCAAATCATATATCCCCTCTCAGCGACGAAGGCACACATGGCCGGTTCCGCTGCCCCGTGCGTTACATATCATGCATTACGCTCTGACCATGGGCACGTGGCGCTTTGCAGACGGCTGATCGCGTGAGGGCAGGCGAAACCATACGATTCGGCAGCAACTGGGGTGTGGAGGTCACTGCCTCGAAGCGCTTCCTGGCGGAGATGAAGGAGTTCCGCATCAACATGAAAGAGCCGCTCGACGTCAAGTGTCCAGTCCGCATCATCCACGCTATGCAGGTGATCAGGCGCATCCCTGCCGGCGTGCTCGGCCAGTTGCTGGTAGCAGCGTGGCGCTGTGGTAGATCGCTGAGGTGATCAGGCGCATCCCTGCCGGCGCGCTCGGCCAGTTGCTGGTAGCGGCGTAGCGCTGTGGTAGATCGCTGAGGTGATCAGGCGCATCCCTGCCGGCGTGCTCGGCCAGTTGCTGGTAGCGGCGTGGCGCTGTGGTAGATCGCTGTGGTGATCAGGCGCATCCCTGCCGGCGTGCTCGGCCAGTTGCTGGTAGCGGCGTGGCGCTGTGGTAGATCGCTGGAATCGGTCAAGAAGCAGAACACACAGCCGTCACCCTTGCACGTCTTACGCACGTCTCGATCATGTGCAGCTATGAATGAGTGGGAAATGATGTCTCCGCGGCTGCCGAATCAAATGAGAAAGCGGCTGCAGATAACCGGACCCCGACCGGACTGTTATGTATTTCTTCCGACCCAGCAATCACCTACGTCGCGTATGATGCAACAACGTGTCTTACCGCGCCCTCTCCCATCTCCACAGGACCAATCCATCCACTGGGAGAACTGCCTCCAGCTGCTGGACGCCGTTCCGCACGAGGACGTGCGCCTCTACCTGAAGAAGCGCGGCAACCACCGGCTGATGGCCGAAGAGGACCTGCGCCTGGAGATTGCTGTAGTGGAGGAACTGCTGACCCAGTTCCCGGCGCCCTCCGTGCCGGCCGCCAGCGTGTCGGCCAACGCACATTTGCCGGCCCTGCCGCAGGCGTTGATGGATGGGCTGATGAGCGAGATGGGCAAGCGGCGCACGCTGGCAGGCCAGGGCCGCGGCTTGATGCGCAGCAAGTTGTAGCCGTTCTTTGGCCCGCCTCACTCTTGTGTTCATGCGATATGTTTACACTGAGATCACAGGCGTCGCTACGGGCAGTGGAGCGGGAGCGCAACTTTCCTAATCGACTTAACACTGGGACGCTTCCGAAATCATTCGGAAATATAGTTAGATTGGTGGGGAATTTGGATCTGTACACCCTTTTTCCGCGTTGCAACCCGTTTTGTATCCCCCAGCCTAGTAAAAAGTCTGACAGCGCCACTGCCTGCGATCTCTTCTACGGCGCCCCGGCATACGCGGCGGCCCAGGCCGCTTCAAGCGCGTAGGCGTCGCAGGAAGAGCCTCCCATTTTCCGACACCGTTAACCTCAGCCCATGCTCTGGAAAGGCATAACTAGGAGTTGTTTCTTTTAGTTACGTAATATCTTATTTTAAGTAGTTGCGTTGTTGTGTTTTAGCAGAAATAAAGCCGTGCTGTCTTTGTTGCTGCAGGCAAATAAACGTGTTTCGCAGATGAGTAGAGGGCGTGGTAGCCCAGATAGCATGGACATGACAATGGCGTATGACTCAATGATTCATAGAACATATTTTAACTTATGCTATTCTAAAGAGGTTAGCCTTAAGCCTTAACCTCCACCGATCAAAAAGATGATAAGAGAATCTCAATCGTTGACAGTGAATTAGCCCAGACGTCGTTTCCGGAAGTTCCCTGCAACTCTTGCCCATGTGCGTACATGTGGGCTGACTGCCGGTGGCGAAGCTACACAGGCTGATGCCAGATGGTGCAAAACACCGGTAGAATTTCTTGTCGCGCCGGGAAATGCTACTGCATAAACTTGTCTTCAACTTGTCTTGTCAGCAACACGTCAAAAACTTTTCTTCTGCTTGCCGTTCGTGTTACAGAGGTGTATAGGTTTGACACAGCAATACTGTTGACATCTAAGTTGCTGATACCGGAGCATTCTTTCATGTTTGCGCGTGGGCGTTGGGCAAAGTCGCTTTGAGTCGCCCAGACGCTTTTGCCACAAGACGCTTTCTCAGTGAAAGAGTGGCCAGCCAGAGGTCCGAGAGGTCAGACCAGACCAGGTTTCTCGTGCCTCGTTAGCTTAAGTCTAAAATGATCTGAAATGCTCTGGACCTCTTGACTTTTAGGAATGACTTAAGCGATTCGGCGTCTCTAATATTCCTGGAGCTTGAGCGTTTTGCGATTCTTTGTTGTCTGCCGCTTTTCACCTTGTTGCGGATCTTTGACCACATTGGCTTTCATTGTCCGCCCCATGTTTAGAGCCATTAGAGCTACAACCTGAAAGAGCCCATTCATCGATGAAAAGGCTACCAGCGTTTTTCCAAGTTCGATTCATTACCTTTTTATTAACTGGACTTTTAAAATAAGCGCACTCCCTAAGCAGCGTTTGTTGCGTGAGCCCCAAACTCACCACCCAATAGGGAATTTTCCGGTCAATAACAGAGGATTTCTGGCAAAAGTTTAACGTACCACAATGCATATTACAATTTGTCCTACTCTCTAACGTCATCTGACCTTTATAAAAGCGAGCGTCTAACACGGCTCAACCCGCGCCCCCCCCCCCCCCCCCCCCCTGTTACAACTGGTTGACTCGAAAGTTAGGCGCGTTAACACGCCTTCGAGTGGGGGTCAAATTGACCCCCCGAAGGTTTTTCCAGAATGGTTTTCGAACGGCGCGGCGCAACCCCGCCAAATTTTACGTAGCTGTAGACAATTGAATAGCGGATCGCTTGGCATTAAACAATTTATATGTACCTTGCAAGGTCGCTGACGTATGGCAGGTCAAAGCCAGCCCATGGCTTCAGCGAAGACAATTTGTAGGGAATCGTTCAATCTGATGTAACAACAGAGTGTTAGACGAAGCCATACATCTCTGAGATGCTTTCTCAGGCAACACAAATATTGAATGAGCAAATTACGTTCACCTAAGGTCGGGTATAAAGGTCAAACCAAGGCCAAAACCAACCTGCTTTATTACTCTAGGGCCTGCTGTATGACATAGCTTCTGGTGCTCATTTCGAGTTTATTGATAGCAGGAACCGCATTCTACATCTTCCATGGACTTCTTAAAGGTCAGCATAGGTCATTGACCTAAAACGACCCAGGGCAACATTTTTTATGAACACACTGCCTGGCGTAGCCTTTCTCGCTTATTCCAATGCTAAACCCAGGGCGGTCTTTTATCATTTTGGTTACAATGACCTTCAAAAGGTCAAACAAGGACACTGACATTAACTGAGTATATGAACTTTTGCTTAGAAACGGTTATCTATGTTACGGGGACACTTTTGAGACCATTGTGGAATTTGACCTTGTTTGACTTTATTTGGCCCGAAGGTCATAACCTAGGAACCTAAAACTTTGACCTAAGTGAGTTCACGTACAGATCAGCACACCTTATCAATTTGGTGTTTCTAGCTTTCTTAGTTTCCGAGATCTCAGGGGAGTCAAATTGACCCCCACCCGGGCGAAGGGTATCTAGCCGGTCACTCGGGCGCGTGTTAACCAACTGAGCAGTCGATACCGACAATTTGGCGTTCTTAATGGCCCTTTCCATTCTCGGGTTCGTTTACAGTCTCTGAACCTGGGCAGCCTCGGGACAATTTTCTGCCTCTTGACCCCTGGTCGTTTAGATTTGTTCAGCGTCCAGTGACCCCACACAAACATACGGTGATCCTCGATGTTTTGTCTTATTTTTACGTAGTCCATTCACCGAAGGTTGTTTCAATCTCTTTAGAATCGGGGCCTCTTCACAGTTTTGGGTCCACCAAACTCCATACTCACTTTACTGCATTGCGCCCTTCAACTTGAAACACCGCTCTGACCGACGTCAGGGTCCGTAACCACGATACTTGCGGCCAAAGCAAACGGTATAAAACAAATCAGCAGCAATGTCGAATAAGTTTGGACCACCACGGCAGCGATTTTTGGCCAGCGAACTAAGCTTTCTTGTTTCATTTTGCCGAAACAAGCAGAATATTCTGATTTCGAGGTTTTGCCCAACACATCAGCCCCGTCTGACTCAGAAAACCATCACACTTTTGCACCTAATTTTATTCGGTAACACCGACGTTCAGGAATTAAACCTCGGAATTACACAAGTGAGATACACACCCAGTTTAGTTCTTGAGGTATAAAAATGGATTTTAAAACGCTTAACCAAGACAAGTGACCGTTCACTCACGCCCGAGGGGCGCACAGGTGGAGGGAGTTCGCAATCCCGGATACCGGTGCTTTTGCTTGTAAAGGTCGCGAGCGCGCATACTCAAAATTGATGCAGATTTTTGACTACTCGATTTAAACGAGCATAGACGTCTGCAGTCAAACATGTATTGGTCATGTCCATACAGTTTGTTCGCCACGTTTCGATCCACCCTATTGCACATATAGGAGACTCCTTACCTTTCCCGAGCATGTGACCTCGTGTAGAGAACACTACAGAACATCATCTTTCGCGGTCAGGGTTTGAAGGCCCTCCGCCCCAGCTCGGGGTGCCTACCGTCTGCCATTCTGGCGACACATGAGCCCGGTCTCCTGGTCGATCCGGAAGCCCTCAGGGGGATACATCATGCATCGGTCCCGTCCCTCCCGCGGGAGGCCCTCTGACCGGGGCACCTGGCCCTGGATCGACGTAGTAGTTTTGATTGACGCATCATTTTTCGTCTCGCTGACGTAAAATGATGCCTTCACAGGTGTCGATTTGCATTCTTTTGCGAGGGCCCTGGCCCCCCCAATGTTGCGTTGAACCTCCCAATGTTGGCTTGGCCCCTCAATGCTTTTGGCTGGAGTGCTATAAAGAAAGGTCGGCAAAAGATGATCCTAACACAAGGACTATCTTCTTTGATCTTCCTGCGTAGTGGTGTCTCGCACCGCTCTCGTAACAAAATGTCGTTGTTGCTCTCACCACGAGATACAAATCATAATACCTGAGCGGATAAACGATGCAATAAACTTCACGTACCTAGTGCCATGAGACACGCAATGGTTTGTGAGGTTAAAGTAAAAGGCCCTGGAATATGGAGATGGCCTGAGTCCTTCACGGCTAACCCCGCCCCTGTCCCCCACAACCAAAATGTTTGCCATAGAACGCTTTTGCCAAAATGCTTTTGCATTTTGCCAAATGCATGCCAAAATGCTTTGCCAATGTCCAATGCCAATGCAATGCCAAAATGCTTTTCTATGGCGGCCATGTCCCATGGCCGCCATAGAAAAGCGCCATCGGTGCGCTAAGGTAGCCTCTAAAAAGCCTTCACGTGCCAATCAGAAAAAAACGCGGGCCTGCAGTGGCTGCTTGCTCGCTGCATCCAACCCTGCGTGACTTCTATGCTGTTTAAATTAAAGAGATTTATAAATCATACAGAGATTAAAAACATATATGGCTTTAATCAAAATAAAGGGGCAAATTCGGTGAGAAAAAAATGAGAGGCGGTAGGTCGTCGGGCTTTCGGTTCGGCCCCCCCCCCCAATAATTTACAAAAATTGACACCCCTGGATCTCTAGAGCGAACAAAGGGCACCAAAACTGGCACAGCCACCACAGTTTGGTTTACCGTGTCCCTGAGTAAACAGGACCATTCCATCGTCTCACTGTAAATATTTCCATGGTCATTTCTATCTTCTTTCTTAATCCCAAAGCCACTACCAACGCAAGAGGCCCTTCTGACATTCAGGGTCGCGTCCTGCTCCTGTTCAGAAAATGTGTTCCTGGCCAACTCAGGGCCCCCTGGCGACAGATAAACCCTATTTAGGCGGTGTGGGTCTCTGACAGACACGGAGGACCCTGGTTGTTGCAGGAGCCCTGACCAGTGCAAGGGGCCTTCGGTGACAATTGCGAGCCCCAGTCCTGTCGCTGTTTGGGAAAGGAGCCCCTGGATCTAGGCTGCTACGGAGCCACGGAAATCTGACTGAAAAGGGGCCCGATGACTCAGCGTGTTCCCCAACCGGCGCAACAGGCCCTTTGACTGACATTTAAGACACCGGGCACGCGGATGACTTCCGGTCGACCCTTTAGGTACTCTGATAATCGCTGATCGCCAAGGACCCTTCGTGGCCCTTAGGACCTGAGAAAAAAACATGCTCCTGTGCCCAGGGTCGCAATTTCACGAAATGAGGAAGAGGGGGGGGGGGGGAGGCGGGCTGAACAGTAAAAAATTTCACGGCCTGCCCCAAATATGTCAACAAACAGGCTTCTTCCCACGTTTGGCTCACTTTCTTCCAAAACTGGGGGCACTTAAGCTCAAGTTGAGGAGGTTGATGCCCCTCAACTGAATAAAAAACTACACCGCTGCACTGGCCATTTCTGTGCGTTACCCGCCTCCTGTAAGTATGTATTGTTGTAGAATTATGTTACTGGTGAGAAGAATGCATAAAGTTTGAATTTACCTATGTTTTGCTTCACAGGTGTTTGGTATCTTTAGCGCCATTTACGTATCACGGTGCAAT